AGAGCAAGTGGAAGCAGAGTGCAAATTTCTGCAGCACCTTTCCAGGCAGCTTTGTGCCACCTGTTCCCTTTACAGAGGCTGCAGCGATCCTGATGCGCATGCTCATGTAACTCTCAGGACCGTAACACCAAGTAGACCTTGGTGCCAGGTATAGGCACTGGTCTATGTACCTGCAAGCCAGCTTGTGGTGCTTTTGGGTGATGCTGTATCTGCACAGCTTCTTCTCCATGGGCTTTTTGGCTAGCCAGCCATAGTGCAAGAGCATTTTGTGTGTGGCCTGCTTGAACTGATTGTATGTGTCTGCAGACCACACATGCTCCTTTCTGTCAGCCAAACAGTACATGTCATTCATGGCTTCCACAGCCTTGAGGCGATGCTTGCCAAAGTCAGCCACTGCAAACTCTGCAGCCAGCTGGCAAGCTACCAACGAAAAGTATCTCACTCTCCTTCCCTTCTGGTGCCTCAAGCTGGGGTAGTCATCACCACCATTCCAGACATCAGACAGGCTGAGCCTCCCCAGTCTTTTGGAGGCAGGGATGTTGTTCTCCTGGTAGGCCTTGCAGATCATGTGGTTCAACTCCAGGAGCTTTGCAGCCCTTGATGGCCCTTCAAGGTGGTCTTCAATCAGGTCCCACACAACATTCCCAAAGAGCTGGCTTGCACAGCCCAAGTCCACAAGGTGCAGCCAATCAAGCTTTATAGTCCAGAAGCTGATTGCTGGAACATCCATGAGGGGGTGGTCCACTATGTCCTCCACAGCCTCCAGCTTTGTGCTTCTCCAAGCAGCTGCGCTCCTAAGATTGTGGACCAAGGAACACACAAATTCCTGGATCAAGTTGGCAACACACTACAGGAGCTCAACCAAACAAAAGAAAAAGTAATTGAGCGATGCCAGGAAACCTGAAATCAGTAAAAGGCACATCATTCTTGCCAAAGAAATTTGTAGCACAGCAGTATTTGCATGGGTAATTTGACATCGCTGTCGGAAATTGGAATTCTTGGCAAAAGAACTCCAAGTCGCCACAAATCACCCAAACCACCCCTCTTCTGACAAACCTGCCATGGCCATCTCCACCATTTGCAAGGATGGTCAGGGAGTTGGCAATCTCTGCCCAAAGAGGTTGCCAGGTGGAGTCCACAGTAGCTTGCCTAAGCCAGGTGCGTGGATGATTGGATGACTGACGCTATCTATCCAGCCTGATGCATTACTGGGGCTATCCAGCCCTGATGGATTACTGGTGCTGTCCAGCTGATGGACTATATATACTGATGCTATCCAACCCTATAGGCTATCCAGCCTTCATCTAGAAGTAGAAAAGCTAAATGATTGATTTCACAGGCTAGGTACTTAGGCACACTGGCCAGCAAAAGCTGTGAATGCTGCACACTAACATCACTCAGCATGCACCTCATGGAGATGACCCTCAGTGAGTCTATCTCACTGTATGGGGCCCCATCTCCATGGACAGCCCATGGAATTGGCAGTTCCTTGCCAGTTGAAGCTTCTCCAGTAAGGGCTTTTTCTGCAGCCCAAGTTTGTTTTGCTTTGCCCAAAATGACTGGAGCACTTCTGTGCTGGCAGTGAGAGATTCCAGCAATCCATTCCTGCAGGAAGAGGGAAAAGTGTGGGTGACACAGTGGGAAAAGTGAACCTTGTGAACAAAAACCTATATAGCCATTCCAGCAATCCATTCCTGCAGGAAGAGGGAAAAGTGTACTATATAGCCATGCAGTCTAGCCACTGGTCGAGAGTCTCCACCCACTCATGTGGCAGCAGGAGTGGCACAGCTGCAGGTTGTGGCAAGAGCTCACCAGAATGATTTCTGCCCTTCATCTCTGCGGGCACTAGCCTCTGGCTAGGTGCCTTGACCTGGCTGAAATATTTTTTCATGAGGTCTCTGTGAGTGTTCTGCGGGCCGGAACCATGTAGAGCCAGGAGGCCCAGTGCATTCTGGCTTTTGATGGCACAGTCAGCCAGCTCCTGGACTTCCACAGCAGTCAAGCGGCCAATGGCAAACTTTTGTATCAGCAGCAACCACAAAGGGCTATGGCTGTCATCTGCCATGGGCTGTCCAGTCCTTCTTCTTTTGGACCGAGCAGCCATGTTGAAAGGGTCTCCACCCCAAGCTTTTGAGCGTCCAAAACCACCAACTCACATATCACATATATGGGAGAACAGGGGCTCTCCAGCCCAAGAGCATGCCCTTGTATGCATGCATGCATTGGGGCTATCCAGCTCAAACTTTAAGAACATGAGGCTTGCGCATGCATGCGCTCAGAAATCTGGGGCTATCCAGCCCAAACTTGCAACTGATTGAAAGACCTGACCTGCTATTTTGCAATCTAGCTCCACATTCAGTGGTATTGACTTTCTAATTGCCACATTTCACATATTCTGGCATGGTTCTTCTCCTCTTGGCCATGCGCTCTTCTGGCTGTCCAGCCATGGGTGCCATCCTTGCCAAAAAGGCCCTGGAGGCTTGAACTAAGAAATGGCAGCCCCACACCACAAGCTGCGCCAAGAGATTGAAAGCTGGGGCTGTCCAGCCCTGATGGCAATGAGATGCAAAATTAGCGCCTGGTGGAGTCCAGCTCCAACACAATTTAAACATTAACAGATGGCAGGGGCTGTCCAGCCCAAAAAACAAATGCACACTGGGGCTGTCCAGCCCAAAACACAAACATCTTTTTCATCACCTGCAAACCTGCAGTCGATGGCAGTACCTAGTCTGGCTTCTTCAAAGCCTTTTGCAGGCTGGCCTTGATTGCCTTTGCAGCTTGCAAAGCTTGCAGGGCCTTGCCCATCGAATCAGACACCTCTTCAGTCTTGAACTTGGGCTTCTTCAGCAAGGTGGTCAGGGAGGTGAGGGCATCCTGGAAGGCATCCCAGGCACATTCAGAACAAACATACAAACATGCACAGTGGGGCTGTGCAGCCCAAACACAGTTAAACAAGAGATGGACAGGGGCTGCCCAGCCAAGAACACCACTGGCCTGCAGCTTGGGCATCACTGCCTTCTTCTTCTTGAGCAGCTCTTCGTCATCAAGGCCAGCTTTTTTGGCTTCATATTCTTTGCTGTCCAGCTGGTTGATGTCCTTCTCCAGCTCAGCTTTGAATTTCCACACCTTGTCCAAGATGTCTTGGTGGCTGTCAGCTGCAGTGATTTTAGAAGTTGTTTCCCAAACATCTTCTTTTTTGGCTTCTCCTTAGGCTTGGGCACCTTGATTCCCAAGGCTTCAGCCAGCCCTTTGTGCACTCCTTCTTCAGTTGGGTCTCCTTCATCATCCACAGCTCCCAGCTTCCAGTCATCTTCGACCACATCTCCCCAGTCTTGGTTGAAGAAGCTCTCCTGGCATCCCTTCTCAACCTTCCCACTGACTCCAGTGGAAGATTTATGTGTGTGAGAGGTCTTTGTCAGGCCAACCTGC